CCCCCCCCCCTGAAGAGGACAGGAGTAGGACGGATTAGGACAGTTAGATTAGAAGAGGAACCAGAAGATAAGAAAGGAATTAACAAACTTTAAACTTTAATACAATTAAAGTTCAACATATGTTCAAGAGAGATAGCAGTTTCTTGTCTTATAGGAATTCTTCTTTCTTGGTGGTGTGTTCCCATTCTTTTATAGATTGGAACCAGTGTTCCAATTTCTTTATAGATTGGATTTAGTGTTCCAATTCCTTTTTAGATTGTAACTTAGTTCCAATTCCTTAACAGATAACTAGTGTTCGTATTCCTTTATGTATTGGAACTAGTAATCTTGTAATAAATATTGAAATAAATATAAATATTAAGATGAAATACTAAATTATCTGCATGCCTATATTTTATGCATCATATAATCAACATTGTTTAATGTATAACTTTATAATGAATATATAAACTGAATTTATAATGTAAAACTCGTACTTTTCAACTTAATCTCCCGCTACATCCATGGGCGCAACTTAGGATATGGGGGGGGGGGGTAAGATAGCTCATTGCCCCCCTTTGTCCCTTTTCAACTTCCCCCTTCCCCCCCCCCCCAAAAAAATAAGGTTTCTTGAACTTCTTTTTGCTTCCGTAGAATTTGTATTTCACATCAAAAAATATTTTTGCTGTGAATTGTACTTTTGTAGGTTTAAATTCGATCTTTTTGCAGCATAAAGTTTTATTTTACGTTTATACAACCTTTGGGATAGATTTATAAATCTTCTGAAGTCTGTGGAGCCCCTCCAGGGAATGATAGATATAAATCACTGAAAAAAATTATTTTATAAAAATAAATATTAAAATGTCATAAATTCTTATCTAAGGGGAAGAAAAAGTTAAAAACCTGGAAATTCATTCACGTAAAAACTGGCATAAAACATTTCATATCAATGCAGATTGCAGGGGAAGCAAGTTCCAAGATTCATAAATGCTTGAAATTCATCACTGATTAATTTGTATATTGTACAAAATCTGGAATACATTTCAAAACGAGGATCAAAAGTGAAATATTTGTAAAATAAAATGAATATTTAAAAAAATCTATTCATTTATTAGAGTATAATTAATGTATCAACTTCTCAAATCAAAATGTGGCCTTGACTTCTTTTACAGCAAAGGTGTGCGGATGGTTTTTCTTCAACTCGACAATAAAAAGGCAACAAAAAATCAACTTTGATAATCTGGCCCAGTTAAGGACAATATGCGGCTTTATTTAACTTTACTTGAAGCCTTTTTTGCACAAGTTGTAGAAAAAAAAACAATGATAAATTTCTTCTTCTACCGGTATGAAAATATATTTTTAAGATTCATAAACTTAGAAATTGTTGTTCTAACGGGTAGTTATGGATGTTAGGTACTTTCCCAAAGGCATTGTTCCAAGTGGTCCCCAATGGTATTTTCCCAAGTGGCCACTTCCCAAATGTGAAATTTTCCAAGCAGCAACTTCCCAAGTCTGTTCTATAGCCGCAACGGTCGGCCCCCATCCCGTCCTTGCGTAGCGCTCGGCTCCTATTGCAGCAGTCTGAAGGCCTCACCCAACCTTTGAGAAGTTGCCGCTTAAAAAATTGTACCTTTGAGAAGTCGCCTTTGGGAAAATGCCGAACACCCAGTTATGTACTGTATACAACATTACGCACTGCAAAGTGCTAGGTACCTGAGTTCCAGTTGTAGTGTACAATAAGATCCACAATTGTCTGCAGTACAACCATTTTTTTTTATTTTGTAATAAAACAAATAAAAAGGATTCTCATAGAAATAACCCAAGGAGAGTATCACGTCAAACTAAAGTAATGTAAACGAAAGTTTGAAATATTAGTTGTTTTCAATCAAACTCCTCTTATCAAAAAAGCTTTTGAAAAGAACAAAAAAGTTTTTAATGTTTAATATGTTTAACATACTTTTTATGCAGCCTAAAAAGTTTTTCTCTATCTATGATGTTCATTAGAATATTTAAAATCGGATAAATCGTCTTCTTATTCCACAGTTTTTCACTGTTACTTCAAAAAGCACTTTTTTAATTGTTTTATCTAAGAATGGGAAGAAGAGAAAAGCAAGGGAATTCGGGGAAGCTAGGAACGGAAAAGAGGGAAGGGGGGGAAGGGTGGAGGGGTAGAGGCTAGGAACGGAAAATAGGGAAGGGGGGAAAGGGTGGAAGGGTGGAGGCTAGGAACGGAAAGGAGGGAGGGGGGGAAGGGTGAAGGGGGAAGAGGCTAAGAACGGAAAAGAGGGAGGGGAGGAAGGGTGGAGGTTAGGAACGGAAAAGAGGGGGAGGAGGGAAAGGGTGGAGGGTTAAAACAACATTTTAAGAACTGATTAAGTTGAGTAGTAGATTAAGCCTCTGTAAAGCTGGGATTGGATCTAAAGTTAAGGATAAAGAAAAGATCAAGTTTTCACCAAGATTTACAGAACCTTTTCATACTAAGTAGTTTTTTATTCTTAAAACTGACAATTCAGTCAATATTTCGTTTCAGTAAATTAAAAAAAGTTCCGGCTGATATGTTGACAGGGAATTTCTTTGAATAAACCATTTGTCACGTTTAAAAAATAAAAAAGTTTAACAAGAATTTAACGAAGAGCCCCTTAAAGTCTGAAACGTACATGGCACAAACTCTAAAACCTTACATCAAGAATATTTTTGTTTTTTAGAAAAAGTTTCAAAATGTAGAAAAGAAAATAAAGACAAAAAGTTATTTCACATTCTGAAACATTTCCAAGTTAAAGAACATTTATTTTGAAGATGCATCTAATAGAGGTATATTTACTTTTTCAAAAACATTTTTTCATGAACTAATTACGTAGATTTTCTAGAATAAATTGATATTTATAACGATTCTATACCGTTTACAAAAAAAATGAAAATAACTTTTAGAATAGTAACTTAATTTGTGTATTTTTTTCCTTGCAGACATTTTCTATTCTTTTGGTTTAGTTATTTTTGTCACATTTTTCTCCCAGAAACTTATTTTATCTTTTATCCCGGTTCGTTAATTAAGTTTTTTCTTTATTGGCGGTGACTTAACTTGTCGAGAAAATTAACTTTAGAAAATTAATCTACAAAATCTCACGGACATTCCAAACCAAACCAGGGTGCTATATAAGCGTTCTTTATGCGGGGGGGGGGGAAGGGAGTTACACAATTTTTCAGAGTTGTTGAAAAAAATGAAATCGGAACTCCTCAAGAACATGAAACTAATCAATTTGATTTCCATCCACGGGTAAAACTGTTTGCTTTTTAACAACATCAAATACACACACGATTCTGTCTAATCCACAGTTATATGGGTCTCATTGTAGCAAAGTGGAAAATATCAGAATTATAATCAAGTTTGTGATTCAATTCAATTAGGATTGAAACAGAAATTTTTTTTTCATTTCGAGAAAAATTTTGTAATTGGCGAATATCTGATTTAGAACAGAAGCTCATCCTGATGCAAAATGGCTCTCATCCTGATACAAGAAAATGGCGCTCATCATATGATAAATAAAATGGCTCTTATCTTGAAAAACAACACGACGCTTGTCAAGCTAAACAAAATGACGCTCATCATGCTAAACAAAATGTCGCTCATCCTGATGCCAAAAATGAAGGTAATTCTGAAATATAAAATGGTTTCCTGATGGTAGTCTGGTTGCATCTGAACTGCGAAATCAAGACTCCCGTCAGAACTGTCTAAAATAAAAAGTATGTTATTAAAGGTATTATCAACAAAAATCGAAATGACTTAGTAAAAGTCACCTTAAAAACAGCGATGTTTAAAAATTGAAAATGTTTGGTCACAGCTATATAGCCTTTTTATAAAACCTTTTCATTTTGGGCAAGAAGCGTTCACATTTCTAGATATCTAGATAATCTGTTAAGTATTTTTTCTTAGAGAAAAAGAAAGCGTATTTTAATATTTTAGAAAAGATTGTGTACGTGTACATTTAAAGAATTATGCGAAAATTAAAATGTTTTCGTAAAATTTGAAAGCAGCTGACAACATTTTCGGGGTTTTTAATGGGGCATTACAAATTACAATTTAATTTTTTTCTGTCTTTTGTATTAAAATCCAAACACAAAAATATTAAACCCAAAAAGTCAGTTTTCATTAAATTTCCAACACAGGATTCGAGGAAAATGGCAACTTGTAAGCTTAAGCTTACAATTTATAAAAAATGAAATTTATTATTCATTCTATTTTAGCTACGCTCAAGTTAATAAACACCTGTTTAAATAATTACTTTATTACTACTTTAAAATACCAAAAATTTATAGAAAAGTAAAAGATAGATAGATGACGTGGCCGGAAACTGCTCAACCTGCCGCGTCTTGATATTCGGTTTTAAACTCCTCCAGAACTTCGTCTTCCGCCACTACGCCGCCACACTATAGAAATTTTAAATTCTAATGATTTCTCCATATTATCTGAAGCAAAAATACAAAAAAAAAGCAAAAATGCACAAGTCACTTTTTTTAGGGAACCCACAAATGACAATAATCAATTTGTAAAATCAAAAACATGGCCATCTAATTCCAAAGTGAATAAATATTTAATCACTTTCATCTAATTCATACTTGACTAGACAAAGCTTTTAAGGAAACCGTTGTAAATCGGAAATGCCAAATTTTTTAAAATGGAGGATCGCTTGAAATTACGTTTACAGTCCCTTTAAGTAATTGCTATTCTCAGGCGAAGTAAATATAAATTTGTTTCAGGGTTTTCAAGCAAACTTATTCTGATAAGTTGGTTTGTGTGAAACATAACTTTTCTCAATATTTCAATTTTGAAAATACTAGGGGCGGCCTAGGGGGAAAGGGAGGGGGTGGACGCCCCCCCCTAAAAAATATGGGGACGTCCCCCTCCATGGAAAAAATAAGGGCAAAACTATAGAGATAAGAGAGATATAGATGTGCAGTTCATGAGAATATTTTCCAGGCCTAGGTTTTATCAATTTATTCTAGATTATTTCATTTCATTATTGCTTCTTGCTTTATTCAGAAAATCTTTGTTAACATTTCTTCAATCAACAAAATTAAGGACAAACTATTGTTTCATTTTTACATATTTTCGTGCTGATTGGCCTTTGGAGCTCACCTCACAACACTAAAACAATCTGCGATGTTCTTTTTCAAAAGAAATTTCTTTTTTTATTAAATGATTTTGACAACTCGTGGACTTCATTTCGCGGTTTTCGACAAGAACCCTAAATTTTCAATCATCTACAACCTTCATTTAATACTAACTGTTCGCTTTATTTTTCTTCTATTTATAAGATTATGATTCATTTTCCATTGTTAACTCTTTTTATTTCTACTTTCAGTTTTCCCTTTTCTAAACTTAATGGGAGTGTTCGCGAAAAATGAAAGGGGGTATAGGCTTAATGCGATAAAAAAAGCGCTTTTGATCGCTACTAATCTTACTTCTATCTGTTGCGTCTATAAGGAAAAAATTGTTAAAGACGTCTCATACCGAATAACTTAGCGCCCATACAAATTGAGAAAATTGCAACATACGACTTAGACCGTAAAAAATCAATTTAATTTCAAACAAATCATTTAGATATTACAACCTATAGTTATCAATTATCTTTCGCCACATTTGTATATAGTTTATATTTTATAATATTTTATTTTTTTACAAAACGTTTTCAACGGATTTCGAAAATTGTGAGTGGTGTGCGGCATTCTTAGATAGTTGCGCAAGCGACAAGAGAAATAAAAAAATTAATTAAAAAATATTATAAAATATAAACTATATACAAATGTGGCGAAAGATAATCGATGACTATAGGTTGTAATATCTGAATGATTTGTTTGAAATTAAATTGATTTTTTACGGTCTAAGTCGCATGTTGCAATTTTCTCAATTTGTATGGCCGCTAAGTTATTCGGTATGAGACGTCTTGAACAATTTTCTCCTTATAGACGCAACAGATAGAAGTAAGATTAGTAGCGATCGAAAGCGCTTTTTTATCGCATTAAGCCTATACCCCATTTCATTTTTCGCGAACACTCCCTTTAATATTTTATTTTGATATAAAGAATTAACAGCACTTCACCTCTGTGCAAAAGCTACGGTTGTATGCTCTTATCATAATTTTTTCAAAAATACAAAACGATTCACAACGGCACAGTTCTGATCAAGGATGAATAAGATATTCGTATTTTTCTAACTGAAAATTGATTGTTTTTTATTGTGGGCTCTCTTGTGAACGTATTCCGTCGTGACATTTGTGAGAAAAACGTTGATATTTTCCTTATTGGTACTTAGATAGAGGACCGTTGTGAATCTGGAAATCCACTCTTTAAATGATATAAATTCACTATATTATATATTATATAGATTTATAGTACTAGTAATTAATAATTACAAACCTGACTTCTTCTCCGGGAACCAGGGTGTAACGAAGGGCATCTCGAATGCATTTGAGAATGAGTGAAGAGTGTCAAATGATTCTGGATCCACGGATCCCATCAGAGAGAACGCTCCGCGCTGAAACTGAGAAAGAAACATTTGTTATTACTGTTGATTTGTATGGGCGAAAAAAGGACAACATTTAGACTATACAGCTGATGAAAAGGACAATATTTAGACCATAGAACTGATTAAAAGACAAAATTTAGACCTTAGAACTGATAAAAAGGACAATATTTAGACCATAGAACTGATAAAATAACAATATTTAGACCATAGACCTGATAAAAAGGACAATTTTTAGACCATAGAACTGATAAAAAGGACAATATTTAGACCATAGATCTGATAAAAAGGACAATATTTAGACCATAGAACTGATAAAAAAGAAAATATTTAGACGATAAAAAAATTCCTAATAAATCAACTGGATTCTAGCCACAAACTTGAATTCTCTAATCCATATACTTTTGAAACCTGATGGCGCAAACCTTTGATATTTTAATCTATTTAAACAAACAGATTACATAGTTTGAAATATGAAAAGGTTTCAAAGATATAGGGATTTAAAAATCTGAGCTTTTGGTAAAGACTCAGTTCGAAAAATAAACTTTCTAATCCTAAGTTGCACGAGGAACTTGCTTTTATCAATATTTGGATAGAAAATGTATTACTTTAAAGGGGCTGTATTAGCTGTATTGTAAGTGACCCTCAAGCCAAAATTGACAATGCTCGATTCATAATCGTATCCTTAAATGCTTGTCAACCATTAAAAATAACGTCTCCGTGTAAAGTCGTCTTTAACTTAGATCCCCTCTCGGAGACACAAAACCAAACCAAACAATTTTAACCCGGGTTTCTTTGTCTCCTGTCGGAGTCGTAAACAACCTTGCATTGTGAAACCATTTTCAAAAAGTTAACCAAAGAATATTTTCATATAAAGAATTAGTGACTTTCGTTAATAATTGTCATTTATTTCAAAAGTTTAAAACGTCTCAGTATAAATTATATATCAATGTTTATAATTTTGAAAACGGACTTTTTTAAATTGTGGTTTCTCTACAAAAGTGACTTGTACATTTTTACTCTATGAAGACATATAGGAATTATTTGAATTAAATACTTATACGCATAGAAAAATGACAATATACCTTCCACACTATTGATCAGATGTCAATCGGGAATTGCCATCTTTGCATGGAGGGCCTCTTAAAATTACGCTCACAGTCCCTTTAATTGCGCGAACTGTGGTTTTCAACGTTGTGTGATGAATATCATATATTTATTTTATTAATTGGTTTAATATTTAATCACCAAATATTATATTCTATCCCGAACTAATCTCCAATATCATTATTAAATAGATTAGAGAAATAACCATAGAACACATTCTACGCAATAGATTGAGGATTTAGAAAATATGGGAGTTAAGTGGGGAGTTAAGGGACAACATTAAAGTTATCTTTGATAATATAAAAAATACTATAGTTTTAATAAAAAAAAATTGGTAGATTCAAACCTTTAGAAAAGATATTGGAAAGAAATTGAGTTTTTGCCACAACCTCAAATTTTCTAATTTCTATATCTCTGCAACCAGTGGGTATAAACCTTTGATATTTCAAACTTAGATTATTTGATCTGACAGAATTAATAGTTTGAAATATCTAAAGTCTACGACATTGGGTTGCCAGGATATAGACATAAGAATATTAAGTTTGTGGCAAAAACTCAGTTCCTTTAGACAATATAGAAAAGTTATCATTTTCAAGCATAAAAGGATAATTTCACATTGGTTTTATATAGCACATGTTAAATATATTTTATAATGAAAACATTGCAGACAGAGATGTTTATTTATTTGTATAATATTGTATTATGTGCATTATTGTATTCATTCCGGAGAACCAAACATAGTTTTTAATCCTGCCAGCTGGCTAGGATACAGGATACAGGATACAGAGATACAGAGATACAAAGTTCTATCATCTTCATACAAATACTTAACCTTAAAGGGATTGTAAGCGTAATTTCAAAGATGCCAATACCCGATTAACAACGGTAACCTTGACACCTTAATCTCACCATTGCTTCTTGTAAGCAAAAGTTGGTATAACGCTACTTTTAATTTGTCATAAAAAATGTTTTTGTTATAAACATGAATTTTCGTTATAATGGAATTTTTAAGAGTTTACAAGTTTACTAAAAGCGTTAAAATATGTAAAAATGATTAATTTTGAATTCAGTAACTTAGCTGTGTAAATAAAATTGCGTGAAAAAATTAAGATATAAATTAAAGCTTGCATTTTAGATAAGAATGTATATAACATAAATGTATATCTAGAGACAATTAACGCTGCTTAAATAGTTTTAAAGTAATACAATTAATTCTAAAGTTACTAAATAAACTCTAATGTGCAGCTTATAATTAAATTTATTTTCTCTGGCTGTACTGTACTGTACTGTACTGTACTGTACTGTACTGTACTGTACTGTACTGTACTGTACTGTACTGTACTGTACTTCACTTTACTGTACTGTACTGTACTGTACTGTACTGTACTGTACTGTACTGTACTGTATTGTATTGTACTGTACTGTACTCTACTGTATTGTACTGTACTGTACCGTATTGTATGTATTGTACTGTACTGTAAATTTCAGTACATATTTGTGGCGGCCTAAACAGTTTTAATGAGTTATTTGGTAAAAGGTTAAGGAGTTCTGGCGAAAAAATTAATTGGCTATGAAAGTTTTTTTTTAAGGAACTGTAAGCGTAATTAATAGCGACCCAGTCAACATGTAAAGATAACATTTCCCGATTTTTAACAGTGCTCTTTAAACCTTTATCTGATCAAAATATTGAAGATTAAGTCGTTAAAGAAACAAAAACATTAATATCTAATTCCAACTATAGACAAAGGTTTTAAGTGTTGTAATACGGGCATAGTCATCTCTTTGCATGGAGGGTAAATTGAAATTACGCTTTAATTTCAAAATTTGATCATCATTCTACACTCTTCGGTAGAAAATTAATCAGATTCATTTTATATCCTTTCCCCTTTTGGAAAATTTAAGAAAACTCCCTTTGATGTTGAAAAGCCCTCACTCCCTTTGAATGTTGAAAAGCCCTCACTCCCTTTAATGGTAAAAAGCCCCCACTCCCTTTAATGTTGAAAAGCCCTCACTCCCTTTAATGTTGAAAAGCCCTCACTCCCTTTAATGTTATGTTGAAAAGCCCTCACTCCCTTTAATGTTGAAAAGCCCTCACTCCCTTTAATGTTGAAAAGCCCTCACTCCCTTTAATGTTGAAAAGCCCTCACTTCCTAGCTATAAAAAAGCCTTCATCTCTCTTTAATGTTGAAAGCCTTCATACTTGTTCCAACACTGAAGACACAAAGCAAGGACAGAAGTAAGTAAATAATCCAGACTAATTGGATCCAATATAGATCCATCCTCAACCTTACCAATCAACACAATCAAATTCCAGCCTTTCATCTTAATAATTTCATTCCTCAGTCTCGTTCATCCCTTTACATCATTCTTTCATTCCTATGCATTAATTTCATAGTCTCGTTCATCCCTATATATTCATTCTTTAGTCTTGTTCATCCCTTTACATCATGCTTACTCGTTCATCTATATTCACAATTCATTCTTTATCCTCGTTCATCCCTATTATACATAATTTATTCTCTGTCCTCGTTCATCTCTATACAAGATTCATACTCTTTCCTCGTTCATCCCTATACTCGGATAAAACCACAAATTATAGGAGTACTAAGTAAACCTTACACTTTTACTAGGCCAATTCTTTCAAAATATTCAAAATATCAAACTGATCTTAATCACAATGTTAGATTTTCTTAGGACAATGTTTTACTCCTCTAAATCCCCTTTGTATACAATCCATACACCATAAACTTCATCCTCAACCCCCTTTTCACTAGCAGTAAGAATTGAGAGAATAAATGTAATATATAGCACCCATCCCTACTATTCTTTAGTCGGTTCATTTCACTGGAATTGCTTATTGAAACCTCCTTCAACTCTACCCACAGATTCTGCGCCTGGCACTTTATTACACAACATTTATTTCTCTCTCAACAAAACATATTTTCTTCTGTACAGAACTTTGAGAATTTAATTAACTTTCAAATTGTAAAGTATGACGTGACTGTACATTCGTTTGAGTACAAGATTATACGCAAAGAAAAGACGATTTTATAGAATTTATACTTTTCGCTTTCTAATTTTCATGATTTCCTACAACTACTACAACTGTAAAACTTGTTTTTTTTTCACCAATCAATAAAAAGTTCACAAGAAGACTAACTTCAAGGCAGAAGATTTAATTTGACCTTAAAGTCGTCATATTTGAAGTGTTTCAGGTCGTCTTTACAGTCTCATCCTTTATAGGTAACTCTGTAGAAAAAGAGGAACTCTATAAATTCCAAAATTACAACAGGAAGGATAAAAATCAAAGCAATTCAATGAACTTGAGCTAGGCCGTTAAACTACCTATTTCCGACTCAAATTTGACTCACCGGCGATAGGTAGTTAAGCGATCTCTCCAATTCAATCAGTTTGGTCCCTATCTGGATTCTTTAAGTCTCATGGTCTAATGAAAATTGCTAATTTATTAAAGTCGTTTGGTGTTATATGTAATCAATTCGTTGAAAAATAAATATAATTTTCAAATCCATATAGCTTACGCGGTTCAAGGGTTTGGTCCTGATCCCAGAGAACTTTAATTTTCGATCTCAATTTTGCCTATTAAACATAAAATTTTTCAATTTTTCCTTCTAAACTTTTTTGCCGGCATACGCGTTTTAAAAAGTATAAAATGACAAAATCGTAAGTTTAAAATTTGTAGAATTATGGAACCAACACGTGATTGATTTCGAATAGAAGAAATTGACTGCATCTCTAGCTTTGATATGTAAAAATGCAGATTAAATATTCACAGTTTAAAATATCAAAGGTTTACATTATCAGGTTGCAAAGATATCTGGGATTTGGAAATTGCTTTTTGAATCATGTGTTCCTTTTAAGACTAATTTCCAAAATGAGAGCTATAGCATTAATTCCATATCTATTATCATATACATAATGCAGTTGAACTGCAACTTTATAGATTAAAGGGACTGTCAACTTGATTTAGAGTGAACCTCCGGCCATTGCATGCCGGATTCACAACGGTATAAATTCCAGTCCCTTTAAAGGAGATTCTAGTTTCCTGTAAATTTTCAAAATTTTGAGTAAAATTTTTAGAATAATTTCCGAATCTGACTTTACCAAAAACCACTCCGAAAATATAATAAAATATTTTCTTTTTGTAGTATTTTTTTTATAAAGTTTACGATGTTCAAGAAAATATAGGATGCATATTTACAATATATGTCTTTCTACATCAACGATTAAAGGATAAAGTGCATCCCTAGTCGTAAACAAGGACATGGTTAAACTTCAGTATAAGATGCATTTTGTCAAATCTTTATTTTTAAATATATTTTGCTTGTTTGTACCCAAAACAAGTCAAACCTTTTTGTGACAACTCATATGACCCCGAGGAAGATTTATGGATGGTCAAAATTGAAAAAAAAATTTATTTTTGAAATTTTGAATTTTACGATCAGAAGTCAGAACTTTTGTTTTGTGAATCTGGGGATCAAGGGTTGATCCTCAAATTTAATAGTGCTCACATTGAATATCGGGATCAAGTATTCAAGATTTACAAAATTCACACAAAAGTTCCGATCTCTGCCGTAAAATTGTTTATGTTTTGCAACTAATTTATGAATCCTTAACCTTGCCAAAAAGTTTGTTTATAAGCTTGTATTTAAGAGGTTAGAGTGCATGTTTAAAGACACTTAAATCGTGAAAATTCAAACTTATTAAACTTTTCTTAATTCTAATTTTAACACTTGCTTGCAATTTAAAAACATAAAACCATTTTTATCATTGAATATTTAAAGAACCCTTGAAAAAATATAAAATTATTCTTTTAAAAATTTTTCGATAAAATTGTTTATGTTTTGACATCTAATTTATTAAAGCAAACCCCTGCAAAAAGTTTGTAAATAAGCTGTTAAAATGTACGCTTTCAGACACTTAAAATAAGTTAAATAGCTTAAATCCAAACTTTAAAAACTTAAAATGTTCTTTCAATGTAAAATTGTGTTTAAATAATATTCAAATAGAATTATGGTGCAAAATATGTTTAAAAAAGAAGCTTGTTCTTCTAAATCCAAATTTTTCAAATCTCTAAATCTTTGCAGCCTGACTGTATAGGCCAAGGAAATATCAAGGTTCGGTTTTTAGATAAATAGAAATGCATATGGTTGCAAAGATATAAATATTTGAAAATTAGAGTTTGTGGCAAGTGATCCTTTCCTATATTTTATTTTCAAATTCCAGTGTATCTGATTTCAAATCAAACAGTGTTAATATTTGCAGTTTTAATATTTGCATGCAAATCGTATATTTGCACAGCATTACGAGTTTGTTTAACCATGTTTATTTATGCAAATTAGTTTTAAATCATTCTCTTGGATCCTGCCATAATAAAAACTTTCAGCAAATTTATTTTTCAAAAATGTTTTCTAATTAGAATTTTTTATTAAACTGAAGCCAAAAGTTTAGATACAAGTAAACGAGTGAACTTACATTGAATATTCATATTATTAAAGGACAGTTCATGATATGATTTAAGAAAATGTGGCCTAGTTTACCTAAAACATACAACCATGTCTTTTTGTTTGTTTCCAATAAACGTCAAAACCTCAAAACATAAAAAATCTGTTAAATCTTAATTCGCAATTTTTTGTTAATGTTCGCATGGGGCAAGTCACTGATACAAAACCTTTGGGAAATATTCAATTTGGAAATTTTTAATCTTTTCTTAAATAAGAATGGAAAATGTCTATTTAAATGTACTTAACATTAACATCCAACGATGAGATCGTAAAGGAAACTATAAATTTATATGAACATATAAAATTGCTTGCAAATTGAACTGATTACTCGTCACAAACTCTAATTTTATATCGATTTGAAAGCTGCCATATCCTGTAAACCTACGTTAATATAATCTCTCAAAAAAATCCAAATTATAAACCCTAAAGGTTTACAATATCCGACTGTACAGATAACTCTAATCTAGAAAGGTTTACAATATCCGACTGTACAGATAACTCTAATCTAGAAAGGTTTACAATATCCGACTGTACAGATAACTCCGATCTAGAAAGGTCAAATGTTTTCTAAATTACTGGTTGTACATCTCTGTGACTTCGAAGTTCCTCTAGGTTTCATTTTACCCACAAGAAAAACAAAACTGAAAGTATTTCAAAACATTTTATTCTTCTCAAAAGCTCTTCAATTTAGGAATGATTGAACAATTTTCAGATTTCAATTTAACGTAAAAGAAACTAAATTTTTGTCACAAACTCGAATTTTCTAATTCTTAAATCTTTGGAATTCTGAGACATCATGTAGATCAACGTATCTAGAACCATCTAGAGACACTCTATAAAATATTTCTAGAACCAGCTAGAATTTTGAGACCTCTGTATAATAATATTTCTGGATCCCTTTAGAATTCGGTGACACCCTGTATAATAATATTTCTGGATCCATCTAGAATTCGGAGACACCCTGTATAATAATATTTCTGGATCCATCTAGAATTCTGAGACATCCTGTATAATAATATTTCTGGATCCATCTAGAATTCTGAGACACCCTGTATAATAATATTTCTGGATCCATCTAGAATTCTGAGACATCCTGTATAATAATATGTCTAGAACAATTTAGAATTCTGAGACATCCTGTATGATAATATTTCTAGAACAATTTAGAATTCTGGGAGAACCTGGGGTTTCTTGTCTCCCAGAGCTAGTCTTCCCGCCTCAAGAATTGGCAATTTATTTCTAATTGAATTTTCGGCAGAAATAAATTCCATCAATGTATTTAAATGAGGTTGAAAACTGAAAGTTTAAAATCACAAATTTTGTAAATTTTGACAGGAACTGAAAGTTATATTTTACATAAACCATCCTTCTATACAGAATCCAACCAATTTAACCTTGCAGTAAAGTCAAGTGTTGCATCGGGGTTGGAGAACACAACTTTTCCTTCTTTGAAGGGACTGTTCACGTAAATTCAAGTCACCCTCCTTTAATAGAGTGGCAATTCCGATTCACAAAGGTACCCTTTAAACCTTTATTAGAGTGAAAATGAGTAATATATTGTCTTATCTCATTCAACCAAAGGTTTAAATGCTACCAATGTGAATCAAACATGGAACTCTATAAAGAAAGGTCCCAAAAATATTTCCAAAAAAGAAATGATTTGATCAAATGAAAAGTTAAGTCAAGCTTAAAAAACCTATTAATATATAAAATGAAGATGGAGGGACTTTAAAAATATATTTGAAGTGAATCGTGATTCTAAAACAAACTATATATAATAAAGAATATGTATGTAAGTTTATGTATCTGTGTAAGTGAAACACAGATTATTCTTCTATTTTATTGCGGGACAAATTGTTTCGTGTTTTAAACAAGCTCCTTATACATAATTTAAAAAATGTTGGTTGATTTCTTCTGATATTCTAGTATTTGAATCTATTGGATTTGTAGTTTTTCTATCTTCACTTTAAAATGTACATTCCATCAAGTTGAAATTTTGTAAAAAAGGGACTAGAAATGTACTTTAAAGTGACCCTCAGGGGCGTATTCAGGGGGGGCCTATGGGGGCTAAGCCCCCCCCCTGGACCAGTGAAATCTATTGATTTGAGGGTTTTTTTAGGCCCCAACAGGTGCTAAGCCCCCCCTGGAAAGATAAAAAAAATTTAAGCCCCCCTGGACAAATTCCTGAATACGCCCCTGGACTGACCCTCCATGCAAAAATGGGAAGCTTTGTCTGGTCAATTATGAATTAGATATCCATGTTTTTGTTTCTTTAAACTTTTTATTTTCATTTGCGGGTTCGCTGCGAAAGTAACTTGGGCATTTTTTGCTTAGAAGAAGCAATGGCGAAGTTATCAGAAAGAAAAACTTTTCTAGTTAGAAAAACGATGGTATCTTCCACATTTTTGATCGGATTAAGGTTTCAAGGGTTTCAGTGTAAATCGGGAATTGCTATCATTGAATGAAAAGTCCCTTTAAACATGTTTTTTATGATTTCGGTGAAAACTGAATATATCAAAATAAACATTAAAAGGTTTCAATTTACTCGATAAATGTTTCAAATCCTTCTCTGCATTGAATACAGAGAACACAGAACAGAAATTTATATTCTATTTGGCAAATTCAATTAAAACTACACTGTTCCCAATATTAAATAACTTTCCGACTTTATAATAAAAGTTTGTTTAAAATCCAACCTGTTTGCAGATAATCTTGGTGAGCTTGTACGCGTCTACAGTGTCGATATTATCCACATAGAACTTCATATCGAACTCGGTGCTCGAGTTGGCCGACGAATGACCCTCCATGGCGAGGTTCATGGCATCGAATACGTCCTGCCAGTCAGGAGCCTTGCTGAATATGGTTCCGATAGGGATTCTGAGCTTGGAGTAGGATACAGGTGTTTGAAAGAATACAAGGAGAATAAGTAACTTGTTGCTCATGGTGCTACAAAGTCTATTCCTCATATTTCAGGTATATTATTTAGCACTAACCAACTTTGATTCTTAAAACTATTTACTTTTTCGAAATAAAATGCTTTTGATATTTTGCATTTCAAAGTTTGGAATTGGGACGAATTTTCATGAGATGAGAGCGAGATCCGTCCGTGAAGAGAGATACTGGGAAACTGACGGAGCTTTGAAATCTTCTGTAACCTGTTATCCCCGGAGTAGGACGGAGTTGGACGGAGGTTCTCTGGGTCCAAGATCAATACTAGCGTTTGTCCGGTTCACACGTATCAAGGAGCTAACTGGGGACTGTCTCTCGGATCGGTTTAAGCATTAACCGATCAAAGGAACTAAAAACTTAAATTTTCTAATATTTTGATAAGTTAAAAATATGAATTCTGCTATATCAAATTGTCAAAGTTGGAAATATCAAAAGTTTACATCATAAGGTTTCAAACTGCCTGAATGCATTATTTTACCGTTACTCGACTAAATCTATATTTAGACCTACTTCCGGTCATTGGATTTAGACTTTTTAAATTTTTGCGAAGAAATTTTTTTGCACAGATGTCTTTAGAGAGAATTTTCATATTTTCAGTTTTCCTTGAATAAAAAATTAGTTTTGAAAACTTTGCAAATTTTTTTTCATATTGAATTAGCCATCATATTTCGCTCACTTTTTTATTTGCACATTTTTTAATAACTTGAAATTGCAATAAATATTTGAACTTTTGCAAATTCGCAATTTTTTTTCAGATTATTAAATTAAAGTAGAAAGAAAGAAAAGAAAAATTTGCTTTCCTCCGGCCATACGCATTTTATCTTAAAGCCTCTTATAAGAAGAAGAATGCCACAAACACTTCTTCTTCAGTATATTAACTTCTTCTGTCTGTTTGTTTGTATCCCATGAACGTAAAACGTAAATACGGCTGAATCGATCCAGCTCAAAATTTTTGAGTCAACTCACGTCACCCCCGGGAAGATTGATCGATGCTCAGAAGTATAAAAATTTGGAAAATCCATCGAATAGATATTATTAAATCATCGAACTTTTTTTGTTACAGTTTTATAATGTACAAAGAGAAGATGCTCACTGAGAGAGTCACAATTAAAAGTTGAAATAGAAAATGGTCGCGAAGCGCTCTTAAATCCTAATCTATATATATAAATTTGGCTTGCCTGTCTGTTTGTCTGTCTGTTTGTTTTTTTGTATCCAATAAACGTCAAAACAGCTGAACCGATCGGGCCCAATTTTTTTGTGGGACATCACGTGACCACAGGGAGATTTACGAACGATAAAAATTTTAAAAAGATGTGTTTTAAAGGTTTTTAATTTTGTAAAAAAATTAAATTCTTGAAAATCCGCGAATTTTTTTTTTTTAATACGCGAAATTTTTTTCTTCTTTGTTTTAAAATGTAAACAAAAAGAACATGTTCACAATTTAAATAGAAGATGGGCGCGAAGCGCCCTAAAAGCCTAGTATATTACATAGTTATTGCAATTTTGTGATGACTCATCACTGCCTGCACTGATTTAACAATTAATTCGCTTCTTGTCTCAGCAAGCTGAAACTTTCGAATACAATTTTACCCATTCTTTTTAATACTTTTTGTCGGTTAGTGCGCTTTAAATCAAAAAGTATTAAAATACAACTTGAAAGTTTAAAGATTTTTGAAAGGAGAATTGAGTCTTTCCCACAAACTCTGATTTTCCAATCCCCCTATATATTTCCAACTTAAGTATTTTTATGGCTATATATTCTGTTAGATCAAAAATATGAAGTTTGAAATATCAAAGGCTTAAACCATCAAAGATATAGAGATTAGAAAATTTGAGTTTCAGACTAAGACTAAATTCCTTTAAAGACCAAAATACGATTGAATTCTAATCGAAGAAACCATGCATCTTGTCCGGGGTGGCCCGTAAATCTTTTCTTAAACGTTAAAATGTAAAATTACCGATCTTTTTATAACTATCATCATGAGGACGCGCAAAGATTTAGCATTAATATTGAGACCGCACATTTAGGATGCACAAAGTGTAGCACACATACTTGAATTTCTAAATCCGCCTTGACACCCAATATCATATTGGTTTGAACCTTCAAAGGTGAGAGATGAGCCGAGAATTCAATATTGCAATATGATCCGTAGCGTTTATTAGATTATTTAGCTCTGTGATCAGCTCTCAGCTAAATATACTTGACTTACAACCAAGAAACATTGAGAACAGGAACAGGAACATAAATTCTACTCCAAAACTGGTTTTAAAAGGACTTTCATTGTACATTCAAGTGACCCTCCATTAAAAGAGGTTGAATGTAACAACGGTTTCCTTCAAACCTCTAACTGAGTAATAATGATGAAGTTATCAACGTTTATCCATCTAAAAAAGTATTAAATTACATTAAAATTCTCCATGTCGTTCAAACATGAATAAGAAAGCCATTTTTCTAGAGAAACCGCAGTTAAGAATGCTCTAATTTTAGTGTAGTTGAGAATTGGGTTTATTGATATTTATACTATTTTGTAAGGATATTCAATCTAATTATGGTATTAACGAAATCTAGCAATCTTCATCAATCCTGGATACAGATATAAATCCAGGATACAGGGATCAATCCAGGATACAGAGATCAATCCAGGATACAGTGATCAATACAGGATACAGAGATCAAATGAAATTCAGAGATCAAAACAGGATCCAGATATAAATCCTGGATACAGAGATCGATCCAGGATACAGAGATCAATCGAGGAAACAGAAATCAATCCAGGATACAGAGCTAAATCCAGGATACAGATATCAATCCAGGATAAAAGGATCAATAAAAGATAAAGAGATCAATCCAGGATACAGAAATCGATGATAAAGAGCTACATCCAGGATACCGATTCAGGATACAGGGAGCTATAATATATACAGAGATCAATCCAGGTTACAGAAATCAATTTAGGAAAAAGATATCACCAAAGGATACAGAAATCAATCTTGGATACAGAGATCAACCAAGGATACAGATATCATTCCAGGATACAGGGATTAATAGATCAATCCAGGATACAGAAAAAATTTAGGAAAAAGAGATCACTAAAGGATACATTAATCAATCTTGGATAAAGAGATCAATCCAGGATACAGATATTAATCCAGGATACAGAGATCAATCCAGGATAAAGAGATCAATCCAGGATACAGAGATTAATCCAGGATACAGAGATCAATCCAGGATATAGAGATCAATCAATATTAGTGAGATAAATCCTGGATACAGAGAATAATCCAGGATACAGAGATCATTCCAGGGTACGAAATCAATACAGCATATCATTCCACCATACTCTAATCAATCAAAATTCTGATTCTTATAAATATTGATCCATTAAAGTGACCAAAATTCTACCAATAACAGTGATTAAAAAGAGAGGGTTAAGAAAAAAGTTTCCACTGTAGACATTCAGATTAAGGGATCGGGATTAAGGGTATCCAATTCTAAAGTTTACAGCTCAGAGTACAGAGATCAATTCCGAATACAGAGATTATTTTTTCTTCAGTTTATATCCAACCCTGTTGTACTAAGTTTAAGTCCTTGAGATAAATATATTTAGAATTCTTCTCATGTGCCCTGGAATCCAAGTAAACGTCGAATTCTCCAGCTAAAGAATCATAAGACATGGAACATCTCTCTTCTATCTTCTAAGATACAGAGTTACCCCCAAAGGATGAGACTTGAGAGATAAAGCTGCAGCTCTCTGCAGCTGGAAAAAATTATTTCTCATCCAAATCATTAAATTTAACAACAACAACCTCCACTGAACCAGTGAAACCTAAGGATTTTAAGTGATTTTCAGGACCCAACGGGTGCTGAGCCCCCCCCCCCCCCATGGAAAAAAATAAGCACCCCTTGGACAAATTCCTGACAACGCCATTGCAGTAGTATACGTTGACTTTAGACTATATCCTGTGCTATGTGTATCCTGTTTAATGTATACTATGTGTATCCTGTTTCCTGTATGCTATGTGTATCCTGTTTACTGTATACTTTGTGTATCCAAGATTAAATAAATACTATATTTTATGATATTGTCAGGGGTTCTGTAGAAAGAACTTAAGAACTGTATTATCACGTTCGATTTAGTTTATTCTTACAATACAATAGAACACCACACAATATTTAAAGGACTGTCTGAAAAAAATGAAAGGAAGTATGAAATAAATCATCGGTTAATTCCAATATGCCTGCAATGTTTGCATTGCACATATCTACAATTGGGTGGTTGTTATGGGGTTAGATAACAAGCTTTTATGTCGTATAATTTTGAGTCAAAATTACATTAGATGTTTCTATACAGAGGCTTTATTTCTATGAGGTGGTTCTATACAGAAGTTTTATTTCTATGAGATGCTTCTACAGATAATATTTGATTTAAAATGTTCTTCAATTAGAAGAAAGTAAGTTTTTGTCACAAATTTTGATTTTCTAGTCTCTATTCACCCCGGACTAACGTGAGAGGCATTCGGTTTCTTCTATTTGAATCATTTGGTCTAATATTCAACAATCTTAAAACCTGCGGATTTGTTTGTCATATACTTTTCATTCAAAACGTATATGCCGACAAAAAAGTATATGAGAAAAACGGCTAAAAAATTATGTTTACTATGTAAAATTGTGATCGAAAGTCACAGCTTTCTGGAATACTGACAGAACCGTTAAATCCACGCGTATTTCTTTGCAACTCAATGTCATAGACCAAGAATAAAATAATCTAATTTTGAACCTATCAAAGGTATTTGAACCATCAAGTTGCAGAGATGAAGGGAATTGAAAATTTGAGTTTGCGGCATAAAATCATTATCTTTTTTATTTTTTATCAATCTTTTTATGAAAAAATATCGATTTCCGCTTAAAAGTAAATGCTTCCTTCAACATTGACGACAGAATAGCAAATAGAGATAAAGTGTTATTGTGAGATGCTGTGTATCTCAATAGACATAGAAATGAAATGAAATTTGGCTACAAACTCTTTTTTTATATTTCCAACCCGATGGTGTAGACCGAACTCTTTTTTATTTTTCCAACCCGATGTTGTAGATCGTTGACATTTCAAACTTTGTATTATGTTATATCAAAAATCCTATGCTTGAAAAATCAAAGGTGCGATCATTAGGTTACCGAGGTTACCAAATTTAAGGGATTAGATATTAAGAGTTTGTGGCAAAGACTCAATTCCTTTTAAGACGATTAATAATAATATTTAGGATTTGCATCCCAGTAACATTAAACATTTAATCATAAGATAATACTTTTAAAACAATATTTTTATATCGAGCAAAACTTCCAGTCATGAGGCGGCTCAAGC